AATAATTAGGCTAATCAGACAAAAGGATGTTCTGTCCAGAGAACTGGAGTCAAGAATATTGACTAATGTTTAATAATCCTTGCACATGCATTGAAGTGGTCCCTTTAGTCCTAAAGGCAGTGTTTGGAAAATACTTTCGAAAGTACCACTTGCATAATTTAAAATGGGTATCACTGAATTAATAATATGCTGTGGATGGGAAGCAGGACATATTTTATTTTTATATTTTTTGATGATCTTTCAGAGAGTGGTTAAAAAAGACTTATTAAACCTGATCGGTTTGTTATATCGGAATGTACAGTTCTGAAAACACTCTTATCCCACTTGGATTATCTATGGGTGTTCCCAGGATTCCTAGCACAGTTCCCTCCTAAGTTGTAAATATACAAAGCCAGCTTCGCTGTAATCTTTTCTTTGACTTGAAATGACTCGTCAGGCAGTGTGGCATCTTAAATCCGCCATACGTGAATTGGGCATACGCCATGTACAACACCAGCTAAGCTGCTGCTCTGTTCTTGGATAGGACATGAAACTGCCATCACATCTGTTTCACAGGCCTGAAGACCATTTCAACAAAACAAGGTGTAAGTGTAAGGCCAACTTTATCAAAGGACATCATACTGTACCTTCCTTGAAACTCAGCATGAAAATGCAGGTTTTATTTTTCAGAAGTACTGCCCTGCCTTGCCAGGTCTTATGAGGAGTTTTGTGTTTTGTTTTTCAGTAGGGGTCTGGGAAACAACAGGATTCTTCTGATGTTTTGGACTTTTTACAAGATTTGAGTGTTATACATACCAGAAAGAGAATATTTGTCTTTATTGCAAGCTTTCTGCTTCCAAGATTAATATTATTTTGTCTTTGTGTTAAATGAATGCGCCACATCAAGGACTGGATTTCTTAATTGGGTTTCTTTAATAGTAGGATGCTGTTCTCCCACAATAAACTGGAAATTACTTCAGATTTAATTTCAGATTCAGATTTAAATGAAACTTCAGAGTTTTTGCTTGAAATTCACCATCTGACTTGTGGCCTTACAGAGATGGGCATTTTTTTTTTTCTGAAACCACATGCACCTCTGTTATTGCAGAGACAGAGCCCACTCAACTAATTGTGTGGTTCATTAAGGCCGTTTTGTGCAAGAGGGTTTGAAGACCTATGCAATCATGACCATTTTTCTTCCATATTATCCATTTACTTTTTTGAATGTGTGGACTACTTTCTGTATATAAAAAAGTGCTACTTCAGATTTTTCACAACTGCAAGCCTTAAGACAGAATGTGAAAAGGATCTGAATATGTTTGTAAGGCACTGTATTGTGCTAAGCTGTAAAGGATGTTTTCTCCATTGGCCATTGTTTTTTTTCTTGTGCATTATTGCAGGTGAGTCCCTTGCCATGCCATGCTGTGGGCCCATACTCTTGTAGAAGGCCTTGTGGACGGCTGTTAGCCTGTGGCAACCACACCTGTGCCAGAGAATGCCACAGTGTGACTCTGCCTGACAGAACAGAGGACAAGCAAAAGGTATGTGCCACATGTGAGAGTACATCATGTAAATCATTGTACTTGACTGTATAAAACCCAGAAGCTTATAAAAGTTTAAACTAGCCCATTGCATTGCAAACTGCATTCCATTGAAGCTAAGCAGGTGTGAGCCTGGTCAGTCCCTGGATGGGAGACCTGGCAAAAACTAAGATTGTTGCTGGAAGAGGTGTTAGTGGGGCCAGCAGGGGGCGCTCACTCTGCGGTCTGTGTGGCCTAATGCCCCAGTATAGTGACGGGGACACTATACTGTAAGCAGGCGCCATCCTTGGGATGAGACGGAAAACAGAAGTCCTGACTCTCTGTGGTCATTAAAAATCCCAGGGCATTTCTCAAAAAGAGTAGGGGTGTAACCCCGGTGCCCTGGCCAAATTTCCCATTGGCCCTTACCAATCATGGCCTCCTAATAATCCCCCTCTATGAACTGGCTACATTACTCTGCTCTCCTCCCCACTGATAGCTGATGTGTGGTGAGCGTTCTGGCGCACTGTGGCTGCCGTCGCATCATCCAGGTGGATGCTGCACATTGGTGGTGGTGGAGGGGAGACCCCGTTACCTGTAAAGCGCTTTGAGTGGAGTGTCCAGAAAAGCACTATATAAGTGTAAGCAATTATTAATTATTATTATAATTAAACTACATAAAACCAATATGATTAATGCAAGATAAAGCATCTGGAATACATAAGCATGGAAGTGATAACTGGATTATCTGGATTACATTTACTAGGAAGGCTTAGAGGAGGTTGACAAGGAAGAGAGTTTGTGTGGTGATTTTCATTTGTGATACTCAAGAAGTTTTAACCTTGAGATCAATATACATTGCAGTTTGAAATTCGAATAGTTTTCCATTGGATCAAGCAAAAATATCTATATGTATATTTATCTATGTGAATAATTCCTTTGTTCTCTTTCCAGTGTCCAGGCTAATGATCAATACAACTTGTTGTAGGTCTTCTTCAGCTTTCAGTTTTAATCACTTCTGTCATTTGGACATTTTTACCTCTAAGCAGAAAACATCTTAGTTTTCTTATTTCCAAAGTTCTTATAAAAGAGAGCTGTGAAATTGTGAAATTCATCTCATGTCCTGATGGCAATCCTGATGGAGTCATTAAGATTTCTGTTGGTGAGACAGGTTCAAAATCCTGACATCATAAGGTTTATGATGGAAAATGCAGACTTGCATAGATAAAGCACTTAAGGAAAGTATTTTAATTGCTGATGTGTTGATGTTACAGTATTTGTCTACCTACTTAACACCAAAAATTAAAATGAGACTGCTTTCATTTTAGTTCAATATTATTTTACAGATTCCTGTTTATTTACCTTTTTTGACTGTGTGCTGCTTCCAGCATGGAAGTCCATCCCAAACTATTAAAATCTGATTAGACTATCATACAATTGTTTGATATACTGTATGTAAACAAAAGTCATTTTCTTTTACTTTGTCTAAATTCTAGAACACACAGGGGCAGCATTTATTCACATCAGGTGTTCCTTTAAATAAAATGCAACAAAACCAAATTTACATTAACATCGTTCCCTTTGACAGTGCTCTTGAAGC